ATTTTTTGTTTTAATTTTAATTTTTTTTGGTTGATTTTTTTTTTTTTTTTTGTTTACAAAACGTTAATATTTATCGAAAACAACAAGATTATGTTTTTTGTTTGATTGTTTGTTATGTAAAACATAAAATGAAAGAATGAAATTATGTTGTTCTCTATGCTAACCGTGAAATTATTTGTAAATTCGCAATTACGTGTGTTCCGAATTAAGCAATTTAAAAATCCAGTACATAAATAACAATTATTATTATTATTATTAACAAAGTAGGTTTTTCAGATAGAGCAGGTTTTAATATAAAAAAAAAAAAATTTTTTTTTTTTTGTCAACCATAGCAGAAAGCTAAAGTTTAAAAAAATAATGGCGATGTTAGCACGTTGACTTATTTCATATCACAATTTGTCATTGTTAATTTTAATTCCATTGTTATCAGTTGTTGTTGTTGTTGTCGTCGTCGTCGTTTCTTTTTCTTTCGATCGGCTTATTGTTTTTATATGTTAATATTATTATTATTATTATTATTATTATTATTATTGTTTTTAAAAATTTTATTTTGTCTAGCTTTTTTTGTAAACATTCGATTGGTGGGTATTGATTGATTGATTGGTACGTACGTATGTGTGAGGATCGATTGGAATTTGTTGTTGTTGTTGGAAAGCAGTAGAAAAAATTTTTTCCAGGGTATAATTTTTATAATAATTTGTTGTATTTATGTTATCAAAATGAAGAGAGAGCAGATGGTAGATGGGGGGAGGGGGTAGTAATTTTATTTCATTATGCATTATTATATGTCGTTTAAATTAACGGTAGTAAACAATTTTTTTAAAAATATAATTTCATTTCGTTACAAATGATTTGATGTCCGAAAATAAATTATTTAATTTAAAATGATTTGATGTTGAAAAATAATTTGTACGGGAAAATTTGACGAACGAAAAAAAAAAAAAAACTTGTTAATGTTTTAGTAATCCTAAAGTAAAAAGACATTTTTTCGACTTCTTTTTAACCTCAAAAAAGTTTAAGCTTTTTTTTGTAAAGAGAAAGAGAGAGAGAGAGAGAGAGAGAGAGAGAGAGAATGTGTATGAACCCCTTTTAAATGACCTTAGAAAAGAATTTTAAAAAAGAAAAAAGAAAATGGCGAAAAAATTTAATTGAAAAAAAGAAAAAAAGAAATTGTTCATTAAAATTAAATTACGGAAATTGCGAAAAGTTTAGATTTTAATGAGAGGTTGGAGTTTAAAAAAAAAAAAAAAAAAAATCTCATGATATTTTCTTAGAACATACAATTCAGGTTTTTTTTTTGTTAAAAAAATTATTACTATTATTATTATTATTATTATTATTACTACTACTACTTGAAATTTATTAAAATGTTTTAGTTTTAATTCACTGTTATATAATATTTTTTTCACAATCATTCATTTTCAATTTTTTTTAAAAAAAAACTTTCTATCGAAAACCGGTTTTTTTTTTTTTTTCGAATGTAGTGTAAAAATATATATTATTTTTAACGGTAGTAGTAATATTAATAATAATAATAATAATAATAATAATAATAATGATAAAATATGAAATGATATTAATAATAATCAATCAATTATTTTTAAATTAGACATGTATGTGAATGATTATTATTAATTAGTATAATTTTTTTTCCTTTCAATTTTTTTTTTATTTGCTTAACCTAACATGGTCTCTCTCTCTCTCTCTCTTTTTTTTATTATTGTTATTTTTATTGTTGAACAATATGTACAGGTTTTCATTCAAATGAGAGATACCCGCGTTCATAAAAAAAAAATTGCCAAGTGGCGCCTGTTGAATAAAAAAAAAAAAGGCCCTTGAGAAATGATTCATTATAAGTGTCATGCTTCAAGGTAATCACGATCCCAAATGTGACTGTTGTACTCGCACATTAGGACCCCCAAAAAAAGGGGGGGAGGAATTAATACTTATTTGTTCAAAAATTTCAAATTTGAATTAGACACGGATTTAAAAAAAAAAAAAATTTTCGTGGAGGGGTCATCCATAATACTTAGTTTCGTTCGAATCAAAAAAAATCAGGGAAATTTTTTTTTTTTTTTTTTTGCACGAATTGAGAAATTGGCTATACTGGCTATAGTGTCGTCATTATTAATTACAAACAGGCTTTAACATGGTGCAACCTCTAACTATATTTTAATGCCTCTTGTTTTCTTTTCTTTTTTTTTTTTTTGCACAACCGGCAAGAAAGGTGTGACCTGAAATTGAATGAATGAATGAATGAATGTTTTTTGCATTTTCCTTTATATATTTATTTTAAATATAATTATTAAATGATCGAGGGGGTCATTCGATTCTGACACTTGTTGTAACCCCTTAACAGCTACCGTATTGTATTTTTTTTAAAGTTATTTATTATGTGAGGATGTGCACCACAACCTCAAGGTTGTTGTGTCGGGTAGTGAGTACCATTGCTTGCCATTTATTTAATCTTTCGTGCAATAAATTTAATTTTTTAACTGAAAAAATAATTAAAATTTTCATTGAACTATATTTTTTTTTTTATATTATTGCACCGGATTTACAGTCATTTAATTTCCCTTGCGTTCCACATCGTTTCACCACATATTTTACCACGTAACGAATATTACGGATTGAACCTACCTGCATACATACCAGGTAGCAAAAGTTTATTTTTGAAATCCGTTTTTACACATGACATCAGGTACAAAAAAAAAAAAAAAAGAAAAAATGTCGATTGTAATTTTTTTTTTTTTTTTAATCTGTTTTTACCTTATTTGGTATTTTTGGATCGTATGATTAATAATAAATTTTAATATAACTAATATATAAAATATATTTTTGTTATTAATTTTGATGGATGAATTAAAAGTGGATTTTTTTTTTTTTTTTATTGGTTGACTACCTTCACTTTTTTTTTTTTTTTTTTTTCAAAGAATATCGCCTACGTTTAGAAAAAAAAATTATTTTATTTAGTGATTTTTTAAAAAAATTATCGTCAAAATGAAAATTTTTAAATTAATTAGCTGATTGACCTTTGTTGGGAAAAAACGGAAGCCAAATTACCTGACCTAATTGTTGAAAAGTGTTAAGAATGAATATCTTGAATGGTGTAATATTATTTAGGTTCTTTGTCAAAAAAATGAACGGGAGATCGTAGGTGTTGTATTGACTTATCTATAACGAACAGTAGAACTTTTCATTCGGGAACAAAAAAACATTTTTTGGGGAGAAATTTGTAAATAATGAATATCATGTGTAAAAGTGCATATCGAATGCCATATCAATCTGAAAATTTTGTAATATTAAACACCTTTTTACTTATTTTTAATAGAGACATTTGTTATATTTATCGTAATAAAAAAAAAAAAAATGGCCTTTAAAACGTAAAATTAGCCTCTTGGCAACTGTCAAAATTTTTAAAAAAATTTTTTCGGTTGGTACTACTAACCTGTTTGTGTTTAATGTTTACCTTTTCTGATATTGGAAGCCTTTAATTTTTTTTTTTTTTTTTTTTTTTTAAACTTGAGGAGAATAATAAAAAAAGAGAGAAAGAGAGAGAGATAGGTCTGGTAATTAAAAATGTCCGTGACTTATTTTTCGGTCGGCTTTTTTAAAAAGAAAATTTTTTTTTTATATTGAAAATCAGATCGGAAAATTCATAAAGTATATATATATCTATCTTTGTCTATGTATTTAAAATAAAAAAAAATTTTCATAGTCGTTTATGGGTATATAAATTACTCGATAACCGTAATATTTTAAAAAAAATTTGTTATTGATTTTGCGTTGGTAGCAGACGACTTCCTACCTGTGAAACCGTTGCCATCATCCTCCCACGAATAAAACAAAAAAAAAATTTTCCCTAAATAGTCGTTCTCGTAGAAAATTTTTTTTTAATGGTTTTCTCTAAATCGAATCGATTACGTCGTCGTACAGGTATATGTATACATATGTGAGTGTTATGTGCGTGCGTGATTGCGTGTGCGTGGGTCCTCAAGACTACTACGTCAGGATCGCGTGAGTGAACAACTTTGTGTTTTTCGACACCTCCCAGTCATTTTACCGTCCATAGTACTCTCTCATAGCTTTTCTCCCACCGCATTTAATCAGGCAGAGAGGAAAAACCTCTTTTTTCCACGAGTGTACTTTTGGGACAAACTACCTACATATTTTATTTTCGGTTTCGTTTTCTCTCTCTCTCTCTCTCTCAACATTCTTCTGTAAGTTGTTAAATACAATCAGTTCACCATCATCGTTTGTCTGGTACGAAAGCTTTCGGTGTGTTTTTTGTCGTTTGCCGTAATAATAATAATAATTTGCGGGTTAGGTGTGCGGTAAAGTGTCTTTCGAAATTAAATTTATGGCATTTCATTTCATTTTTATAATTTAACTCAATTTTTTTAATTTTTGGTAAAAATTTAATTCGCCGGCATTTTTAAAATTTATAATTAGCATAGAATAAACATAATTTTTTTTTTTTTTTTTTAATTATATGTTGTAGGCTTGCTTATATGAGGTTAAAATTTAAATTTAAATTACTTATCATTATTATTATTATTTTACGTTAAGATAATTAAAATTAATTTGAAAAAGTTTTTGTTTTTAATAAATACGTACGCGTGAAAAAATTTATTTCGTTTTTTTTTTTTTTTAATAAATTATTTTTTTTTTTTACAGTAATTTATTTTAATAATTACTCAAATTTTTTTTTTTTTTTAATTTTAATTTAATTTATTAAAAAAAAAAAAAAAAAATTTCTCTAATGCGAAACTAAAAGTTTTTAATTTAATTTAATTTAATTTAAAAAAAAAAAATCAACCAAAATTTATAACGTAAAAAAAAAAAAAAACAAATAAATAAATTTTTTTATAAAAACCAGACGGCCATACCCTCATTTTTCAGGTCGACTTTTTATTATTATTATTAATAATAAAATAAAAAATTGAGTTTTTATAACGAAAAAGAAAGAGAAAAAAAAAAAAAACCGCGTGTGAACGAAAATGTCAACGCAATCTTATTACAAAGAAAGATTGGGATTCGATCAAACAGAATGGAATGATGGCATCAGTACTCCGGTATATGAAGCCAACCTTACCAAATCGAAAGGTTTGTGGCAGTTTTTTATCAAAGCCACATCAGGTACGCATTTTATTTCATTTTTGTTATTCCAACATTGAGTTTTAATTTGTGCCTGCGTGTGTGTGCGTGTGTGATTTTATCACGAGTTTTGTCGTAATCACACGCAGTTTTTTTTTTTTTATTTTATTTTAATTAATTATTTAATTACTTTCGTGTGAAGTAATAATAATAATAATTATTATTATATTTATTTTTTGTGTGTTTTTCGAGATTTATATATATATATATATATAAAATATAACAAAAATCATGTTGGAATGCTAATGAAATAACATGCGTATTGATTTTATTTTTTATTTTTATTTTTGTTTTAAATGTTTTTATGTTGTATAAGATTGGTAAAATAATAATAATAATAATAATAATAATAATAATAATAATAATAATGCGTAATATAACCGAGAAGATTATAAAGAATGTATATATGTGTGATGGATGAACGGGTAGATAGGTAGATGTTCAGGCGAACACACATGTTAAAATTTTTATATAAAATTTTAATTCAAAAAAAACGTTTCCACGTCGTTACCACGGTCATCATATTTAGAAGCGAATAAAAAATAAAAATAAAAAAAATAAAATGGTTGAAGGTCTTCTAGATTGTAGAAAAAAAGCGAGTTCGGAATCGACTATTCAGGAAGAACCAGAAGTTCAATATTATACTCTAAGGCGTGTATAATAATGGCAGAGGTTAAATATTTCATTATTATTATTATTATTATTATTATTTTTTATCTAAATAATAATAGTAGAGAAAAATGAATTATTATCATCATCATCATCATCATCTTAATTTTTTGATTTATTTATTTATTTAGGGTTTATTTTTTAGGAGGGTTTTTTTATTTCAATTTTATTTTACGCAATAAAAATTAACAATAATAATGATGATGATGATGATGATGATGATGATCTTGTTTTACTCCCAAAAGAAAATTATTGAAAATTAAAAATTTAAAGCAATTTTTTTTTGCACGCAATGTGTTGATTCCATTTACGGTCTCTCACGTTATTTCAACTCGTAAAGAAAAGAAAAAATTGCATTATTATTATTATTATTATTATTATTATTATTCGCAGTAAATTTAATTTTACAATTAATAAAAAATAATGTAAAACATTTCCGTTATGAGTGTACCAATAATACCAATTTAATTTAATTTCAATATTTAAAATGTTTATTTAAATATGTTTGAGGAGGTCCTCCCCATTTTTTTGTTTTCTCTACGCGAAAACATGCCTGTTTTTTTTTTTCTTGAAATCGTAAACAATAATTATGTTATTTTGCAAGTCGAAATAAATTAAAAAATTTAAATACTTGTGCGATTTAAACAAAAAAAAAAAAGAAAGGAAAATTTGCATTGTTATTATTGTGCGTCTCGTTTGTTTTTTAAGGGAAAACACGAAATGTTTAAAGGGTGTGTGAGTGCGTGTGCGTGCGTAGTAAATTTTTTTTTTTTTTTTCCCATTAAAAAAATTATTTTACTAATTAGGGCGTAAACGAAACGTTTAAAACTTGAAAAAAAAAATTGATTTGCGTGTAAATGTTTTTTTATTGATTCATTAAAGACGAATACGAATGAGAGTAATTTAATAAATTATTTTTTATTTTATGTATCCCTCTGTTGTACAATAATAACTGTTACATAACATTAAAATCATTTTAAATAAATAAATAATGTTTTTTTAAAAATGAAAAAAATGTCGTCGATAATTCATCTAAAATACTATTTACGTAATAAAATGTTTTTTCGAACATGTCTGTTTATGAACAAACAACAGACAAAAAAAAAATACAAACGAAAAATTTTATTCAAAACCGAGTCACGGTTTAAACCATTGACACACACACACACACACGTGTGTGTGTGTGTTATCCTAAAAATGTATTCCCATAATTTTCAAATTTTTTTTTTTTTACCACGTGACGTTTCCGGAAACTCGCAGTCATTCGACAATATACATTTTTTTTTTCTAATCGTTTACTTACGTATTTAAAAATAAACGATATTATTATTATTATTATTATTATTATAATTACTTACGTTGGTAAATTTTTTTTTTTTTTTTGTTGACGTGAGAATGACACGAACACTACAACATGGAGTTTAGAAAGGAAAAATTTAAAACGGAACTTATTTAAAACAAAATAAAATCAATTTGGATATTAATTATGTGTTTATTATTATTATTATTCGATTTGTTTTTTTATACATAAAAAAAAAACCCCCCGTCATCAAATATTTAATATTTAATTATTTAAACTGTTATGTGAAAAAAAAAAAATACTAATAATAATGATTAACTTTGAGTTTTTTTTTTTTTTTTTGCACATATTAATTTTTTATGGTTTTTATTTTTACTGCAATTATTATTATTATTATTATTATAATTAATGTATTTACCACACTTTCTCAGTGATTGAACGTAAAAAAGTTCTTCTGCTCGAGACTTTAAATAATATTGCATTTTATTTAATGAGTAAGTGGTGACCCCCCGATAAAATCATTTTTTTTTTTTTTTAGGTTTATCATAAGGTATCGTATTTTGATATTTTATAAATAAAATGAAAAATTTTTTTTAAACGAATTTCGAAGATTAAAAGTAATAATAATAATAATAATTTTGTTTTTGTTTCAGACGAAAGAGATGCGATACAAAAGAAAACATTTACGAAATGGGTGAATAAACATTTGAAAAAGGTGAGAATTTTTCCTCTTCATCATCATTATTATTGTAATTTACCACCCCCCCCCCCACTCATCCCCCCGGTCTGCTAAATGGTCATAATATTTAAAAGAAAGAAAAATTATTATTATTTACTTTCGTTTTCTGTACTTTTAACATTTTACGTATCGAAACGCCTACGTAAAAAAAAAAAAAAAAAAAAAGGTGCAAATTAATAATTAGTTAGGTTCATTCATAATAATAATAATAATGATAATGATAATAATAGTTTTTACCGAATTAAATAAATAAAAATTTTAAATTATTTATTTATACGTCAATACGTAAGGTAAGGTAAAGTGTAGTATATATGCCATATATTGATATCATATTAATATTATTATTATTATTATTATTATTATTATCATTATTATTATTGTTGAATAGTTGGTACGAGTGGTGGAAGGAAGGACAAGTTTTTTTTTTTTTTTTTAATACCTTACGACACTCCATATGTACTACTCGCAAATACTCGATTGCCTTCGTTTTACGACGACCCACGTTTTCATTATTATTATTATTATTATTATTATTATTGTTTTCCGAGAAATTAAACAAAATTATTACGTTTATCCTATCTATCGTTATCATTATTATTATTATTATTATTATCATAAAATTTTATAATAATAAAAAATAATTAATTTCAACCTCCGTATGAAGTTATAATAATAATAATACTAAACAAAAATTATTATTGTTATTATTATTATTATTACTATTATTATGGCGCATTAACCTAATTGTTTTAATTTCTTTTTATTGATTCGTTTTGCGTTTTACAATCTACCGAAAATTTATCATTATCATTATTATTATTATTATTATTATTATTATTATTATTATTATTATTATTATTATTATTATTATTAAATTTTTTTTCGATGGCCATTTAGGAGTTTTGTGTGTGACATTTTGTGAATATTAAACAAGTTAGTCGTTGATGACATTAATAAAAAATTATTTATTGTTTATTTTTGTTTTTTATTAAAAGCAGCATTGGAAATACGTTAAAGTAAGTTTTTTTTTTTTTTTTTTTTTTTTTAATTATTGCTCGAAATATTCGTAAAGTGGTAAAAATTCGTTAAAGTGGAAAACAAATTTTCATCATCATTATTATTATTATTTTTTTGTATGTAAGTTACCGAGCACCTTGCTCCCGAGAGTGTATTATTATTAAATAAGTCACGTGGTAATTGTTGTAAACATTATTATTATTATTATTAGGTTTTTTTTTTTCGTTAAATGCAGACAGACCAAAAAAAAAGATGTTTTATAATGATTTATAAAGAGAAAACGTTTATTATTATTATTATTATTATTATTATTATTATTATTAACGACGCCTCGGTTATTTCGAAATTATAATAAGACAAGGAGAGGAAGAAAGAAAAAAGCAATAATTAAAAGAAGAGAGAGAGAGAGAGAGAAAAAATTACCTTTATTGGCATTTGGCGAAACTTTAAGAAAAAAACTCCCACCACCCATCCTCTCTCTCTCTCTCTCTATTTCGAACACACATTGATTCAATCAATTTATCATGTTAATTTTTTTTAATCTGTCTAAATTATTATTATTATTTTTATAGGGAGCCCTTGAGTTGAGGAAGAAAAGCCATTTGTCATTTTTATTTAAAAAAAAAAAAAAAAAAAAACTTGCTTGAAATAAATAAATAAATTGTCGACGTGTCGTATTATAATAATTTTATAACTGCTTTTAATAAAAAAAAATCATTATTATTATTATCTTAATTAATTAATTAATCAATTTTAAAAAAAAGGTTACGATTGTCTATAATAGTTGTAAAAAAAAAAATTAATAGCGTCGGAGTATTTTTAATATTTTTATTAATAATATTTAATTATATTTAATGAAAAAAAAAAAAAAAAAAATCTTTTACAGAATTACACGTGTCTTCACGTGTGCATCAATCATCCACAATTTGGCCCCTGCTGTTCTCCCACAGTAAGTCGTCCGAATTCAATTATCGGCTAATCATTTATATATTGTTTTAAGCACGATTTTTTTTTTTTTTTTTTTTACATAAAGTAGCGCTTTGTGTGTGTGTTGTGCTTGTTTTTTTTAAATGTTTTTCTATACTACCCTTGTGTCTTTGTTTTCAAAAAAAAAAAAGTAGCTTTTACCCCCTCACCCTCCCCCTCCCCCTCCATCCCCCACTTGTTTGATTTTTTTTTAGTTACGTTTTTTAGATTTTGCAGTTTTTCGATGTTTGTTTTTTACTTTTTAATCCTGACTAACTGTATTATTTCTTTATTTTTTTTTTTTTTTTGCTCTGGCGGAAACGGATGTATTGTTCTACAAGAAATTTTTAAATTTATCTCCTTGAAACGAATATGTAGGAACTTGACTTGATAATAAAATTGCTAAAAGTTTTTTTTTTTTTTTTTTTTTTTTTTTCGTTTAAATTTGAATTATTTAATTGGGTTGCATTTAAAAAAAAAAAAAAAATTAAAAAACAATGCGTATATTTTTTTATTTATTAGGTTGGCATCAACTTCCCACATTGCAATTTTTTTTTGTGAGTTAAAAATGAGCGTTGGAGGAGTCCCCCCCATATACGTAAATTTTTGACCGGTTTTTTTACAATGGCAAATTCTTAATTCAAATATTTATTGGTTTATTTGTTGTCCGCCTTTTTTTTTTTTTTTAGATAATGTTAATTTTTTGTACCTTGATAAGTTGATGTCGTATTGCCCCCCGTCCCTCTATCCCCCCAAATAACAATGACACATTTATTTTATTTTGGCAAAAAATCATTTTTTAATTTTCAAACGAAATCGTGATCACTTTTGACTTCATCAAACCATATAAGTTGAAAAAAAAAGGTTTCAGGTGTAATTATCTACATTTCCCAACGGCAAATCGATACAATAATAATAATAATGATAATGTTTTTTTCCAACTGTTACGACATGACAAAACGTGTAAAAAATGTTTTTATATAGTCGAGAAGGAATCTGGTGGAATTAAAATGTTTATATTATTAATTCTTACTCATCGTTAATCCTATTTTTTCTTTACGTTTGTCGAATTTAATTAATATATATTAATACGTCACGTGTCATTATATTTATTTATTTATTTAGAAAAAAAAAGAAAAATTATTTTGTATTATTTAGCAAAGTTATCCAAGAACGCTCTCAAAACCTGTTAAAAGTTTATGAAAAACCCTTTATTAAAGTTTTTCTACTACCCCTGAAGGTTGTTAATAAGAGACTGCAAAAAAAAAAAAAAAACTCGTACCTGTTAATTAATAATAATAATACTTTTTTATTTATTAATAATACTCGAGTACGCTATTAATTTGTTATGTAAAAAAAAAATCAAATCAAATTTTATTTATTTATTTATTTATTTCTTCCTACCAATTTTTGATTTTACGTAACAAATCGTAAAAGAAAAATAAAATAAATAAAAAATGAGTCAGAGCAAGTTTTTTTTTCTCTCTCTTTCTTTCTCTTTCTCTCTCTCACTCACACACACACACACAATCTTTTAGATTTCTCGTAACACAAATAATAATAATAATAATAATAATAATAATAATAATATTTTAAATATCAAACAAATATTGTATTTAGAAAGTTAAATTTATTATTATTATTATTATTATTAACAATAAAATTACATTAAGTTCATAATGTTTTTTTTTTTTTTTTTTTTGTTAAGTGAATTTTCTAATGATAATAATAATAATAATAAAGAGTTAGAGTTGGGGAAAAGGTAGGAAGAGAATTTTCGTTGTTGTTGCAAAGGTGTGGGGGGGAAGGGGAAAAGGGGACTTAAATTTAAGAGGTTAGATAGATAGATAGATGATCTAACTATCCGGTTGATTGCCTTGACCGTTTAATATTAAGAGCAAACGTTAAATAAATACTATAATAATAATAATAATAAAACATGTTGTATGTTAATAAGTTGGGTTATGTGGACAGGGATGAGCCTAAATAAATATTATTATTATTATAAACGAAATTAATTGTTAAAAGAAAAGAATTTAATGATTTGTCACGGAGTAGAAAATTTTTTTTTTTCTCCACACTTTCCAATGTGAAAAAATTTTACTAATAAAGTTATTAAAGTAGATGATTATTATTATTATTAATATTAATTTACCCCGATGACAATAATAATAATAATATTTAATAAACGTTACACACACACACACGCGCGTATATAAATGTAAGTGTTTTTGTGTTATTATTTACAAAAACCTGCCTACCTGCCTGCCTGCCTGCCTGCCTGCCTGCCTGCCTGCCATGATGTTCGATTTTATTTATTTATTTATGTATTTTTTTTAATAAGTTTTATTATTTAATTAATTTATTTGAATCGGCTTGAAAAAAAAAAAAAAAATTTGTTTGTTATTATTTTATATAATGGTTAAAATTTTTTTATTTTTTTTGTTTAGGCTGGCCGACACGTCAATGACCTTTTCGAGGATTTGCAAGATGGGCACAATTTGATAAGCTTGTTGGAGGTTTTGTCTCAAGAAACCCTTCCAAGAGAGCGAGGCCGGCTTAGATTTCATATGCTTCACAATGTCCAGGTACGATAACCTTTTGAATTAAACAAGACTGGATTATTATTATTATTATTATTTAAACAATCCGTGGCCTCTGCCATTGTTTTGTTTACCTCAAACCGTAATATTGAATTTTTTTCTCCTTTTTTTTTTCCTTTTTTTTCCTTTTCTTTTTGGATCTTTGACCTTGGCATCAGTTTTTATTAAAATAAAAAAAAAATTATTTATTTTTCTATTCGTCCATTTCCGGTTACTTTTACCATATTACAAATTTTATTTAATTATTATTAATAATGCACGAACAAACACAAACACATTTGAATGTTTTTCCCCAAAAGAGATAAATGATTATTAATATTTTTTTTTTTTTCCTTTCTTCCCTCCAGACGTGTTTAGATTTTCTGCGATATAAAAAAATCAAGTTGGTTAACATCAGAGCAGAAGACATAGTCGACGGAAACCCAAAATTGACTCTGGGTCTTATATGGACGATTATTCTCCATTTCCAGGTAAGTTTTTTTTTTTTTTTTTTCGTTTTTTTTAGCCGCGCGAAATTTTCGTGATAAAAATATATTTAAAGTTTAATTTTAAGTTAAATGTTAATAATGGCGGTTGTTGTTTGAATAATTTTATCTTTTTATCGCGGTTGTGTTTGTGTATGGATTTTTCCGTTTAGTTTGTCGAACAAAAAATAAAAATGGAAAAATGGTGTAAACGCGAGTTGGGGTTTTTCTGCAGCTTCGTGCAGTTACTTATTTAAAATTTTTTTTGGAAATTACAAATTTTTTTAAACGTTTTTGCCTCCTCACGAAATTGTAAGGAAATTGGTCGTCACATGGCGCGATGATTAAATGTTTAACTCCTTAAAAAAAATGATTGCTTGAGTATGTAATTACGAGGGATTGATTGATTGATTGATTGATTGATATCGGTTGGGATGGTTAATTCGTTCAATGAGCCGTTATATCGAATATTTATTTATTGGTTTGTCATTTATAAATAATAACGACGTGCAGGTTTCAGGTTGTATTATTTCCTTCTTCTTCTTGTTCTTGTTTCAATCGAAATAATTTATTTGTGAAAAGTTTCGAGAAAAAAAAAGAAATTGACGGGATATTATGATGTGGTAGTCGGTGTAACTTGCGGTTTGATTTTAACCTATTTGAAATGTGACGTTTCACCGAAAGAAAAACTATGTAAAAAAAAGAGAAAATTTATTAAGTTTGTCGTAATACTGAAATTGTTGTCACATAATCATAATCTATACAAATTTTATTTTAGTCATGATTCGGTACAAGTTCTTTTAAATGTCAAATTTAAATGTCTAATTGTCGTTCGTCATGTTGTTCGTTTTTTGTCAATGTTCTTTATGCAATTCAAATCCTGTCTGCTTGTCAAAGTGTCTTTCAATATTTATTCCAGGTTTTTGAAAAAAATTTCCTCATAAATATATATATATGCTCGAATTGTCGTGGTGTTTGTTTCAACCCTCTTCCCCCCTGCCCCTGCCTCCCCCCTGATATTTCATATTTTTGATAAACGTGATAGATTTGCTGACTGATGTCACAGATGTCTGTATGTATTTACAATTGTACGAAAAGTCTCTACCTTAAACGAGGTTGTTGTATGATTGTATTGTGCTCTCTAATTTCACCTGTACCTTATCGATCGACGACATTTCGAGTCAGTTACAGGCACCCATTATTTGTATTTTATCAAAAAAATTCTTCTAGTCTTTTAAATTTAAATTCATTAAAATCTGTTAAATTTCACTTATGCAAAGAGTGATGCTTTCCTGTTAAACAAATAGACTATTCATGATTTGGCAGGCGACGACGTTCTATGAAACTACTATTAAATTGTAAATTTTAATAAGTTTGTTATTAACTTATGTATGTATATATATATATATATATATATATATATGTATATATATATATATGTAAAATTATTTATTTTTTTACTGGGAGTTGTAAATTTATTAATTAGGTAAAATTTAAAGTTTTTTAGAATTGGGGATTTCACAATTTGGGTGTCAGAGTTTGTTAAATTTTATGATTGCTCAAGTAGTTTAATTGAAGTAATGAGGAAGTGAAATCGAAGTGCCTTTTTTTTCTCCGTTCAAGCAAACTAAACAATCATAGTGGGTGGTAATTCAATGCTCTTGCAAAATGCAAACCTTCAAATTCGAACATAATAATAATAATAATAACCTTCTTCTTATATCATGCCTTTAACACAAATTTATTCGTTTGTTCTTGGCTTGTCTTGGCTTGGCTCGGTGTATCCATGTTTAAATCCAAAGGTTTGAGTAAGTAACTTTCACAGTTACAAAAAAAATTAAATTGAAACACGAAAGCTATTCAAAAATTATTTTTTTCACACATTAAATATAACTTTAAGTATTATTTTGTATGTGGAAAAAAAACCCAAGTTTTCAAGGCGATTCTTTTTTTTTTTTTTTTAAATAATGTATAAAAGTAATTTTTATTTTCACGATCATGGATTGTTTGTTTGTTTGTTTGTTTGAAGTGTAATATGGCGTCCTTGATTGACGAAGTGGAAAAAAAAAAAAAAAATATTTCGTGCGTTATAAAATGTATGGTTTTTGAAACCCCAACAACAACATTTGGTTTAAAAGCAAAAAAAAAAGGATGAAGAAAAACTAATTTAAATATATTATTATTATTATTATTATTATTTATTAGTCGTAGTCGTTTTGGTTCATGATTTATCCTTTTCGACTCATAATATAAAGCTTTTGTTGTTGCTGGAATTAATAAATTTTTTTTTTTTTTATTTACGGCATTGTTAGTCGGTTGTTAGAATAATTAGTTTGTTGTTTGTTTAGCAAGGTTAATTTTAATGAATTAATTGTTTTGTACCCTTACTCCGGATTTAGAATTGAAACAAAAACGCGTTTCCGTAATAAAACGAAAAAAATTTTGTTTGTTTTCTTATCAGGTCATGAGAGGTGCGGTTGTTTTGATAAAAAAGAGAGAGAGAGAGAGATTGATGATTGTACGACGACATCTTGATTATCTCTTTAAAAACAAAAAAAGGTTTATACAATAAGTAATAAATTTGTTTTAAACAAACGTCGTTTGTTAGTTTGTGTTTGTTTCGGTTTGATATTTGTTATTAAAGAAAAATTATAGTTGAATTTCCGGTTTATTTTTTTTCGGCGGTAAATTTAAATTTGTACCCTTAAAATTATATTTGTGAACGTTTTCGATTGGATATTATCATATATATTGTATGTATAATTTGTTAGAGAGAGAAAGAGAGTGAGAGAGAGAGAAAACTCGTGACGTAATAATAATTTGTTCGTTTTTTTGTTAATTTTCCACAATAAGTGTGATTTTTTTTTTGTACGATTTCACCTTGTTTTAATATTATTATTATCATCATCGGCGTCGGGCTGGGATGGGCAATGAATGAAATTTCCGTTTTTAACCTTCAACATTTTCGCAATATTCTTACCGACGAGATATATACCACCTCTCACTCCTTCCATGAATTTCTATTTTCGGCGATTTGCCAACGCAATTTTTGTGTTGTTGTTTGTTTTGACCATTTTTGGAGTTTTGCGTTATTGGTAGTATATACTAATGTCGATTTTTTAAGACACCCATTAATTTAGTTTTTCTTATTTTGTGTGTGTGTGTGTGCGTTTGTTTGTTTGTTTGTTTGTTTGTTTGCGTTCGAAATGAAAAATAAAATTTAAAAAAATTCCTCCTTCGTTTTTTATAAAATGATCATTAATTTAAAATTTTTTCGGTAGATAACCGCCTATATCGATTGATTGGGTGTGCGGGGGGGGGGTATTTGTGCCAATGTCGAAAAAAAAAAAAAATTAATGTTTGTTCAATACGTACACTACAATTCTAAAATGAAAATGGTGGTGGCACAAATTAAATTCGTATTTTATTTTATTTTTTATGGACGAATCTAAAATAAATAGATTTTAGGGCGCTAATAAAACGGTTAAAGGTGTGTGCGTGTGAGTGACATAACTTTTAAAAATTCTATACATGGAACGTCATTTTTACGTGGAGAGACCCAAGTAGTCGTCGTAGTCGTCGTCGTGGGCTTTTTAAATTCTCTCTTGTATACAATCGAGCAGTCCGGTTGCGGTTGGATCAGGGACTGGTTGGTTCTGTTCTTGTTTTGTGTTTTTGTGTTTTCTTGTTTCTGTTCTTGTTTTGTGTTTTTTTGTGTGTGCAATTCTCATCAGGTAGTTAGTTAGTTTGCAGTATTTAATAATAATTTTTTTGTGTGTTGTCTTTTTCTTCATAACGATGTGATTATATTCGTTATATCGACTTTGCTAATTTTATTGTCGTCGTCAGGGTTTGATGGTATCTCTTTAAAATAAATAAATAAATAATAGTAGGAATCATTGTTTTTTCTTTTATCAATTTTATCAAATATTTATTTATTTATTTTTGTTTGTTTGTTTTTGTTTTTTATAATAAGTTTGTATTTGTTGAGTGTATTGTTTGTTTCATTTCTCTCTTTTTTTTTTTTTTTTTTTAATTTTTGCAATAAATTTTGGGAAATAGGAGCAAAAAAAAAACAACGTTTTGTTGTTTTTGTAATCGATTAGGAGAATTTAATTCCAATATTATTATTATCATTTGATTGATATCAGTGCAAAGTCGTTTAGTTTAGTTTGGTTTTTTTGAAATTTTACAGTTTGTTGTGATTCCGTAATTTTTTTTTTTCTGAACTTTTGACGCGGGGAAATTTATAAAATCCTGATATTTGGTTATGATTTAATAACAACGCAAAAAAGAGGACATGTATCGGTTCGTTAAAGATTCGGGCTCTTCTAGATTGTTCGTTCAAGGAACGAGAGAAGGGTCGGATAGGGAAAATGTTTACGATAACGTAGATCCTACTAGCGATCGGAGACGGAGGAGTAATAATAGTAATAATAATGTCAATGACGATTTAGAGGCTCTCCATACGAGGAGAAGGTTCACGACCGAAATGGAAGGGTCCAACGAGGAATCCTCGCGGGTTCTTCGTAATAAATCCGAAGGAAGAAAATTGATAACGACGAGAATAATTCGGAAAACGACGACTCTTACTCGCGGAGAAGAGCAGACGGTGTCGGAAAGTCTGTTGCACTCCGCCGGAAGCGTTGTCAATGTCGTACCCATAAGGAGTAGTCAAAATTATTATCCGGCAATACAACCCAAAAAGCAAAAGGTAAGGAGAGCAGACATGTTGAAAATGAAAATTTCGGAATGGAGTAAATTTTTTTTAAAAAAATATTATTATTATTATTATTAAATGTGTTCTTTCAAGGTTATTTATTTCGGTGTGAATGGCACACAACAACATTTAATGCGGTTGTTGGCTATGGGGTACCCGTATATTCGTAACTCTCGTACATGGGATCGGCCGAATTGATGATGATGACCTTCTTGGTTTTTTTTTTTTTTTTTTCGTGACTTCGTTTGTTCTAAATTAATGGCACGCCCCCTCCCCATCCTCCCCA